ATAAATAAATAAATAGATAAATAGACAGATAAATAAATCATATAGTTTCGAGGTTGTGGCGTCGGTGGCCTAGTGGTTAGGCTCTGGGACTCGCAATCGTAAGGTCGTGGGTTCGGTGGGTCAGGTGCCCGACGTTGTGTCCTTTGGAAAGGCACTTTACACGAATTTTCCTCAGTGTAAACGGGAACCCGGTAATACACAGTGAAATAATTATCTAGATAGTTTGTTAGTGTTTGAGCGCGTGATATCTGCAGCTTGCACTGTATGATTTTTGTGAAGGTTGACATTCGTTATTTAATGAAGAATTACACGTAATAACGATAAACCAGTTTTATCACAATAATACAATCTTAAACACTTTCATTTTTTACGTCTTTCTCTTTTCAAAATCAGAGTATGAAGAACTTGAACTTGTCACTTATTAACTTCTAGAATAGATGAATATAATCATCGTCTTAAATTTTTAGCTTGGTCATTCACTAAAGCCTTTTAACACCAGATCTATCTCTTATATAGTGTTCGCAAGCATGGTCGAAACCCGCCTCTTGAATTATCTCAATGATGTCGATTTTTTTTCCGGGTAGGGTTGGGGGGGGGGGGGGGAGGGGTCACGGGCGTGAAAACGCATACATTGAAGTTAATTAAGGTGATAGATTTGATATATAATAATATGGGTTTGTTGGTATCATCACAAATGTTTTTAAATTGTTTTGCTTTTTTATAAAATATTCATCTATCGATTGAAGGAGATGGGAATCGACTGATGTCACTGTCAGAATTAAAATTAGCAAGAAAAGGGCTTCTAAAGTTTGATGACTTCTAAAGCCTGAGTGTCCTCAGAAACTGTACATTGAATTTTGTGTAGCGCTTATCAATGTTTTTCAGTGAATTCTACCCAGGCCTGAATTTTTTAATGGACGCAAATCGTAATAGGTCTTTTTTTTTAAAAAAGATAACCAAATCTGATAAATATTGCCATACAGTGGTAATATTACACGTTTCATCAATATCATTATTTTGACGAGAGCCTGATTTCACTACGATGCTACAGATATATATTATATACACACACATACTTACGTGTATATAATATGCATCATTTTGTATGTGAGAAAAAAAAAGAGACAAAGAGTGAGGGGGGAGAAAGAGGGTGTGAGAGAGAGAGAGAGAGAGAGAGAGAGAGAGAGAGAGAGAGAGAGAGAGAGAGAGAGAGAGAGAGAGAGAGAGAGAGAGAAAGAGCGAGAGATAGAGAGACCGAGAGATGGAGCCATACAGAAAGAGATTGAGGGAGACACAAAGGGATAGAAAGAGAGACACACAGAGGGATAGCAAGAAACAGAGCGAGAGAGAGGGAGAGAGAGAGAGAGAGAGAGAGAGAGAGAGAGAGAGAGAGAGTGAGAGAGAGAGAGAAGGAGGTATACATCTTTGTGTTCCCGTGAAAAGAGGCAAAGGCACTGGGTAGGGCCGGATTGTGGGGATGGATAAAGCAATGAGTTTTCTGGCTCTTATGCCAATACCACTTCTCTCATAGCCCCTCTGACATACTTTCTCGATAATGGAAGCCGAATGGATTCATTTAGTTAACTTAGCCAGTGGAAAAAGCCCATCAGAACCATTTTCGACTCGTTGCACCTTCGTTTTGAGAGCGTCCGTACAGTAGGTCGATGTGGGTCTGTGTAGTCTTGGAAAAGGGTAAAAAAAAAAAGCGGAGCTGGAGTATATCTTCACAAAGTAAGGACAAGAACTTAGAGCGTGGTTCTACTTATGAAACAAGGTTACGGCCACATAAAAGAGGAGCAAATACTACAAAACCATATGAGTATATACCACCTTTATTTTTCTATGTATGTTTGTATGTATGTATGTATGTATGTATGTATGTATGTATGTATGTATGTATGTATGTATTATGTGTGTGTGTGTGTGTGTGTGTGTGTGTGTGTGTGTGTGTGTGTGTGTGTGTGTGTGTGTTTGTATGTATGTATGTATGTATGTATGTAAGTAAGTATGTATGTATGTATGTATGTATGTATGTATGTATGTATGTATGTATGTATGTATGTATGTATGTATGTACGTATGTATGTATGTATGTATGTATGTACGTACGTACGTACGTATGTACGTATATACATATGTATGTATGTATGTATGTATGTATGTATGTATGTATGTATGTATGTATGTATGTATGTATGTATGTATGTATGTATGTTTATTTGTATGTGTGTGTGCGTGCGTGCGTGCGTGCTTGCTTGCGTGCGTGCGTGCCTGTCTGTCTGTCTATCTATCTATATATCTATCTTTCTATCTATCTATCTATCTATCTATCTATCTATCTATCTATCTATCTATCTATCTATCTATCTATCTATCTATTTATCCGTCCGTCCGTCCGTCTGTCCGTCTGTCTGTCTATGCAAAGTGGCTCGAAACAGACGAAATGAACACGAAATATCAACTTTTTTACATTCGACATGAAACCGGTGCTAATGTATTTGTGGCATGTTATTTCAACGCTCGTGTTTGACCACCTGTTTCACTCTTACACAGCTAACATAATAATGTGATATTTGAAATTCCAGTTCATTTTACAATATCATGCAGGAGTGTTTGTTCACTTGGTGAACTTACATGAACTTGCACGCTGGAAATGGGAGTTATTGTTTAATTTCAGAAAAGTTAACTCCACGTGGTGTTTTGCTGCAGTACATTTGGCAATATAACCGACAGTCCTCGCCTAGTCTTATAAAATGCATGATAAATATATAGGGCTTTGGTTAAAAAACCTTTCATCTGCAAAAAAGTGGAAAAGTTATAAAGTTCGGATTATTTCATTTTATATTTTTAACAAGAGAAAGTCGAGAAAACAGAAAACAACATGAAGTTGTTTTCATCATTTTTGGGGCTTCAAATATTTGTCATCATTTACCTTGAATTTTATACTTAGATTTAATACCAAGACAGGAGAGTTATATACACGCTCTTCCGTACATCTGTGATGTGTTCATTCATTCGTACTGCAGTCTTATGTTTTCACGATTTTGAGACGCTTATTAATTGTCTGTATTGTTTAGAAAACTATCTTCGTGGTCAAAAGAATGAATTGTCTTATACAGAAGCCGCAAACAGTGGCGAAGCGTCTATATAATCAAATAATCACTGCTTCCCTTCCTAATTTTGAAACATTGCCGCAGTAGAATTCACCCATAGATGTAAACCTCATAAATTAAATGTAAAAAGACGCTCATAATCCCCAATGAACAGTATGCCTAACATTCAAAACAGTTTCATTGCCACAGAAATAGCCTGTTCACCCCTATCGTGCCACTCCATAAGCAGTCGCAAGTTTTGATTAATTAAGCTTACGGTGAGGCTGGAAGAGTCTACCAATAGAGTTGAAGGGAACATGTGTGCAACAGTCAAAACTGTTTCATTGCCACATATTTATTATACCCTGCTCACCCCTTTAGGGCCACATTTATAAGCAGTTACAAGCACTGATTATGTAAGCGAACTATTACACTGGTCGAGTCTACCTCACAGATGTGAGGGGAACTAACTCCTAATAATATCTTGACTGCTGCGAGTGCTTATTTTTTATCCTCGACTTTTTACCGTCCTATAATCAGATCGTGACCTCGATAATGACACCGGCTCCTGGCCGCGAAACACTAGAGAAAAACAGCCAATTGTGAAATAAAAAATTAATAATGGTCTTGTTCTACCAAAGAGTTTAGTTCACTGGTATTAGATACATACTGTAGTACTGACATCTCTGCTTCTTTGCTTTGTGTTTGTGTATTCATGTTTACAGCTAAATTTAAAGTTTGTTAGAATAAATATTTAATGAGATACTTTCCCGATTATTTTAGCGGTTGAACATGCATACAGCATGAATCCAGGATTTGTTTTCATTCACAACTCAGTGTTGCCGCCTCAAGTAAGATTCATGTGTGATATCTCCAGGCCCTAGCGCCTATCTGGTCATGTCTCACTGATTACCCTGTCAAAAAAGTCGGCCTTTGCCTCTGGTCGCAAATACCTTTGGTATATTCAACATGCTTATATTCGTTTATTCATCAATACTCAGGTTGCATTGAAAGTAATGAAAAGCATTTGGAAACAACATCTATTACTTAACTGTGAAAGTTTGTACTGTTAAAGGTATTTCAGTCACGAAGCAAAAAAATCCCACTTTTAGTCCTGCACAGTTTTTCTTTTTATAAGCAGACAATAGACAAGCGTTCCACACACTGGCTAAAACAGCACCTGGACATGGATGGCTGGTGCCTCTATAAACAAATCTTTCATCATCATTGATGGTGTTCCACACACAACTTGTCTCTATAGCGTTCATGAAAAATAAAAATAAAACAAACCCTCAACATCCTGTACCGTCTGTGATAACTACCCAGACAAGGTGACATCCCTAGGCTTGTGTGTTGAAATAGCCCATGACTTTTATTCAGTGTCTTGGTCTGTATGCTGGGACTTTGCATCCCTCTCAGTCCGGGTTCTCTAGCACTCATATGAACTTCTTATGCTGTTTCGAGCGCGTAAAACAAAATACTTGCCCCCCCCCCCTCCTCCAAATATCTGGGTTGACCCTAACAAGTGGGGTCTAAGACTGTTTCCTAAATAATCTAATCTGCATCGATAGAGACGTAAAACACCAAAAACATATTATATAGAGATAGAAAAATATTTGACTAAGTGATATTTCCTTTCATTTGCTTCTTTTTAGTGTCCCCAACACCTAAGTTCCTTCCATTAACAAGGCTCTTTAAAAAGGTTGGGTCCTGTGTTCATGACCATTATGACTCCCGTTTGATCGAAATTGGCAGGTGAGATTTGAAAAGGTAGGCCTATGTGATTTTTTAATTGAAGAAAGGCAACCCCCCCCAAGAAAACTAGTTGCGTTTTTGCTATAGTTATGTCTTAAATTTCTTGGCTTACAAGAACAATTTACTGATCATAAACCCTTTTCTTATTCACAGCTCATCAAAACATGGGCTTCCGGTGGCAGACAGAGGCCCCAGCGGCGACCGGACTCCTTCCTGGAAAGATTTGCAATGGGCGGCAAAGACATGCCCATACACAGTGGGGAGAGGAGGCACAGGAAAATATCAGATCTCAGGTAAGTGATTTTTACCCATATTGAAGATACGAGAGAGAAGAAAAGAATAGAAAGGAATTGAAAGAAATATAAAGAAGTGAATAGATCAGAAATTACACAGAGCAAATACAAACCTAGATAACTAGAGAAGAATTTGGCGCTCATATGACCTTATGCAGTTCCGAGCGCCGAAAAACCTCTACTAAAACAAAGAGAAGAATTGGATAGAGCAAATTTGCATCTATCCGTGTTTTTACAATAGTGGATGGATACACATTCTCAATATATAGTATAACTTATAACCAAAACAAACAAAGAAAATCAGAGGATTTCACGGTTGAAACAATGCCATGATTTGAAACAATTTTGAATAGAATGTCATGACCTTCAATGTAGCTGTTTGGACAAGCTCATGTCTCCCTTTCGAAGTTCCTGATGATTATGAGATAATACCATTTTGAAGCTGCTTCCCTTTTTTCTGCTTTAGTGATAAACTTGTTCCTGAAGGTGAAGGCTGTGACAGGATACGGTGGTAATGTATTTTTGTGGATCACATTGAAGTAAAACCTCACAGAAACACATTTTGCGAAGTTAAACCTCATTGAACAATTTTGGGCCTCACGTGAATGCATAATATAGCAATGTTGACCCTCACCAACGCAGAGAGCAAGGTTGAACCTCACAGAAACGCAGAAAGGAATATTGATTATCACAGAAACCCTCTATCATCATCGAATTCACAAAATACCCCGAGTAGTCCAGAACAAACAAATATGTCATAATTGATGTTGGACTTCAGTGGAATCCTTGGGTAACTGTATATTCACTCAAAAGGCATGGTCAGTTCTTGAACCCACTGGAATACGTGTTATATCTGAATCTCACAAGAGCACCCTGTTTTGTTTTTAACCTCACAGAAAGTTTCTTCCCCTCACTACATGTTAACTGAAATCACATATCTGGGTCATATTGACAGAACAGAAATCAATGTGTAAGTGATAGTAATCCACCCATAGAATGAAATCTAGAATTATTTCAATGCTCTGAGCTCCTTGATCAATATTATTGTGGCAAGCGTCTCCGGGACTCAGGGCCTATCAAAGCGTGCTCTTCCGTTTGGGTGCTGGAGTTCCGACTAGCGAATTGAGGAGAAATGTATTTCGAACGTCCCAGATACAGCTCCGTTGCCACGCAAAGTTAGACAAGAAGTCGTTAAAAGTATTCCCCTGTTCCATTGCTGGCTGCGAACTGCTCTCCCTGATGAAAAAAGTGCATGCTCGCATTTGACTTCCAATTTCTTTATTAAATTGTTCAGTGTGGCCAAGGTCAATTGGTACTAGTTTCAGTGTGAAACCTTCCTGCTGTCAATTGGAAAGCGAAATGGAACAAGGAAAGGTGTGAGAACAGGGAGATTAGAGGAAATTGGTGAAAAATGAGGGGAGGGGCGAGGGGGATGGGAGGGGCATGCCTACGTGCGTAAAGGAGAAATTCCAGTATTCCACACATTTACAATAATTTAGCAGTCTAGAATATTTCTTGAAAAACAATATCAAATCATATTATATAAACGTATAGATAGCACTCTAAGATACAGAATTGAGCCTAAGGAACATGTTAGTTTGGTGAACTGTCCAAATGGAAGTGGTTTTCGACTTCTGGAAGGTTAAATGAAGTAAAAAAAAAAACCCAACAAGTTTATCAAACTCATTTATATCGATCAGTGACCTTAACGAGCTTTGAGTGAGTCCGATTTAGCTGAAGCGGACAGTTTGACTTTGGTGCTAACAACAATATTGATGTCGAATTGTCGTTAAAAACAACAAAAAGGTGCGATCTCAATTGCGTTATTCTTCTTTTTCTTCTTCTTCTTCTTCTTCTTCTTCTTCTTCTTCTTCTTCTTCTTCTTCTTCTACATTTTCTGGGGTTTATCCCAAACTCAAACAGCTGAGGTTTGCCAATTATCGAAACTAATAGCAATGTTACAAAACTCCCTACAAATTTGCCAATAGTCTATTGACATTGCGTGTCATATTTTGTCCCCTAACCAAAAAATTCGTGCAAATGCTCCCTAGAGGTGTGTGAGACCCTACTTTATGCCTCTGCAGCTTGAGAAATCTCCCTCTCACTTCACTCCCATTTTTCAAACACAGGGTTATAAGCACGCACGCACAAACACACACATACACACAGACAAAAAAAATAGAAAACAAAACCGCACACACACACAAACAAACACACACACTCACAAACATGTGCACCCACTTGACCTACTACGCACAATAAGGACCTTCACTCTCTGTGGGGCCAATGTGGGAAGGGGGATTGAACCATGGTGCCATCTGCGAAAGTCGATATTTCAATATGGGAGACCTATTGTAGACCTTTAACTTTACCTCAGACCTTTCACAGATTAAGGTGAATTTGGAGGCACCGTGCCTTTGGACCTTTACACCATATCTAGATCTATATATATATATATATATATATGTGTGGACTCGGGAGGCTTTGTGCACAAACTCCTCCCTTATTACCTAACCCACACCTTTGAAACTTTGCAGGCGTCCACAGAATCCATGTAGCTTGGCCCTAATTTTTTTTTAAAATCCATGCAAACTGCTTTCCCCGATTTTTCCAAAATGCTTTGTTTCGTCCACATAGAATCTAAGACGATATTGTAAACAAGTGAGGTTCCCGTTCAATAGCTGTGCGCGCACTGATCCCATACCTTTGAAATTATGGAGTGCACAACCACGAAAGCGAAATAGAGAATCAATCTATATATCACTAATATCTATTATCTGTTTGTGGTGGCCGAATTTTGCTATTCAAAAGGTTTTTTAATGGCTTCATCGATCGACATGCGGTTTTCGCCAAAAGATTCTTTAAAATATTCTCCAGATCATGACGCCCTTGGTTTTTTCAGTTTTGAAACAGTTTTGCTTCATAAAGCTAAATTTATTTATTTCGCCGATCGCTTCTGTTTCTGTAATTGTAGAAAATCCGGAAGTGATATTTTGCGAGGCGCATTTTGACTTGAGAGTATAGATCTAGACCTTCTAATTGTTTGCATCTCTCAAGATGTATTGTCCCATTCCAGTAAAGGATAAATATAGTGGGCCAATTACTTTTAGTTGATACTAAAGCACCGATCATTCCTTTCATCGAAAGGGGGCCCAGCTAGTATTATCTAAACCTTCTAATTTTTTTGCATCTCTCAGGATGTATTGCTCCATTCCAGCAGAGTGTAAATATAGTAGGCCAATGACTTTCAGTTTCAGTCGATGTTAATGCACCGATTATTCTTTTCATTGGAAGGGGTCACAGCTAGTAATAATATAAATACCATACCTGGTGTACCGGAGCCGACATTGGCCTTGTCACTGTACGTGCTGTTACAACAGAGCCAACGCAGAAGCTAACAGACCCCTTTGGTAAAAATGTTTAGGTTCTACTTCCTGGCAGAATGAAAACGTGAGTTCTATCACTATACTGGGTAGAAACTTGGGAGTGTTTTTGTTAGGTTATTTAAAATTAAAGTTTGTCAGTGTGATTGCTGAGATGTTCTGTCCCCGTCAGCGCGGGTTGGCTCTGGCCGACACGCGCGGAGCAACCCATCTCTTAATTGTTAAAAATGTGTTGAGTCGTGCGTTAAACATTCGCTAAAATGGTATGGGCATGTCACAAGATCCACAGGACTTGCCAAAACAATCCTGCAAGGAACCGTACAAGGAAAGAGAAAGAGAGGAAGGCAGAGAATGAGATGGGAGGACAACATTACAGAGTGGACAGGAAAGACAATGGGTGACAATCTGAGGAGAGCAGAGGACAAATATAGATGGCGAGAGCTGGTTTTCCAATGCAGTGGTGCCCCAACGGTTGCCCCAACCACGGGATAGAAGACATAGAAGAAGAAGAATTTAAATACATCCACCATCTTTTCTGGTTCACAACTACTTTGGTAGAAATGCGTGCCATGGTGAAGACCCACTGGTTGGCTTACAATTTTCCTTTGTTGATCTGTGCACTGAGTTTCCTTTTCTCTGAATAAATGACTTTTAGGAGGTGTCTGTTGCTTTCATTTTTATGGTTTTCAACTCGTTTGCTTAGTCAGGACGGGCAGCAATCCGTTGGTGGGTGGCAGAAGCGGCTGGTAGGTCATGGCGATGGAAACAACCGTTGTCTGTGTAATGCAAGAAAATAATTAATATTTACCAGTTGTCGTGCTGAGAGCCCGCCCGACGATACTTTTTCCCTGAGAGCGCGTTTATAACCATGTAGATTGAACGTTTTATAATATTTCAAACCCATGTTTACATCGCCTACATGTCTCTGCATACAGAAAAGTTGCCTTTCAATTCGAACGCAAAGTCAATTCGAGTCGATTGTCGGGATTCATCAAACAACGCTTTGCGTGAATTATTTTAGTGCGGTCAAAAATTCATGGCGCAACATATTATGGTCAAATATCTCCTCAACTATCAAACATAGGTTCTCCCAATTTTTACACATTGTCTTAACAAATCAAAATTTTTGTAAACACCTGGTAGCTGCATTCTAAAAATTCCT